TATTATATGATTATCATATCTTACACAATTTATTTATTAGTTTTTGCTAAAGGGATATCCTTTCTTTTAAATATCCCAATTCTCTGGCCTAAAATATTGGAAAATGAATAGAAATCTTATTATATAAAGGAGAATGCCCACGATGAAAGTTTGACACATAAGAAAAATTGTAACTCATCGGATCGCGACACATGTAATTGTTAATTTGGATTGTGACATGTGTTAACAATAACAAAATTAAAAAAAATTAAAATAAAGAATATATCTTAAACAAGGAATATGGACTAATAAACAAAAAGAAGAAACCATCATACTAAAATAGGTAATAATTCTAAATTGTTATATTACAATATACATTCTTTCCAATTCAAATTATTGAAATAMTTAAAAACAYAAAGAGATGTCATATTATAAATTTKACTTTGSTAATATAATAACGTATATGAGACACTTTTAGTATGAGATTAATATAATAAATTGATGATTTAATAAAATATAAAATGATATTATAATAAAATAAATATTACATATTTGTGTGAATTATAATTTAGAATCTAATTACAACTTTTAATTTAGAGGCGTTATAAAATTTAAAATCAAAATTATTTACCGCAATYCATTTTTATATAAGCATGACACATAAGCAAAATTATAACTCACGAGATAACGACATGTATCTAATAATAAGATTGTTAAGATGATTAATAATTTAAAACTTAAAATTAATTAAGAAAAATAAGATTTAAAATGGAAAGTAGTTGTCAAGTTACTAATCYAATAATAAAAAGTAAAATTTATAATACTATCCATACTAATTAAGAAACAAACATTAAGATGAAATATAAACATTACATAAGCCATAAAAGAAATAAATAATACATACATAATAAAAATGATAGTGTATAATTAAAAAAAGAAAACAAATGATAAAAAAGATATATAAATTGGAAATAAAAAAATTATAAAGGTTAAAGAAACRTCAATGTAAAGGTTTAAAGACATACACAACCGCGCAAAAATAAATTAATAAAAATAATCTATAAAAATACTTATCTTAGCAAAATAGAATCAAAATAGAGTTATAGAATATCACAAAAAAATGAAAATTGTTTACTTATGACGTCATTGGTACTCTCCAAGTGTAT